AGGTACTGCTTGTTTTTATTGTTGAAATTATTTATGTTGTAAAAAAATGCGAACCCTGCTGAAATAATCGATTTTAAAAAATATGGAATATTTTCTACATGTCTACAAATTAATAGTATGGCTAAACATTTAACATTTCTTCTAAACAAAGTTCTATGCACGATGAAACCCTAGATTAAAATCCTAAACGATTTCATATAAATATTTTATCTAACCAATATCGTCGAACAGATATGCAAATAATACGATTTTACTTTCATATACAACGATTATAATGGTTGCAGCATAAATCGGTCGGAATTAAAGACGTATATTACAAATAACCGCTATACGTTCAATTTATGTATATTTTTTTAAATCTAGTTCCGGTTCATACTGATTAAACGAATGATACTCGTGAGTCATTATTTTCATTTGAAAATATTTATGCTGCAAGTTTTGATCTGTAAATCCCACAGAAATTAAGACCGATTTCACTTTTTAATACATGTTAGAACAATGAAAAAAATTATGTGGGATCATAGTGTATATAGGGCAGACGGTACTGAAAATAATTGTTGGTATTAAGGTTTTGATTTCAATACCGGTTTGTGACGGTACACCGAAAAACCGAAATGATTCGGGGTACTAAAAAAATAAAACGATAGTTAAAATCTACCGAGTACCAATATGTTTAACTTAAATATAGTTCACTAATAAACAATTAGTTTCATAAGTTACTAGTAAAACAAGTGATTTTTTTTAACTGTCCTTACCTGTAGACTATTGCCTTTAGGTACCTTTTTTATTTATTTTTTGTCATTGTTTAACCGATGACGCTTCATCCAGGACGGCGCGTGAGGGTGGGCAATAGGGGCAGTTGCCCAGGGCCCCGCGGTTCTGGTTTAACTGAACTTAAAATATTTTATTAATATAAATTATAAGACCCCAACATTTATTTTGCCCAGGGCCTCGCAAACTCTAGCACCGTCACTGCGCTGCGGGAACTGCTTTCGCAATACTTTGGTGTTGCCGAGGTACATGTAGGCTATAGAAAAACATGAATAAGTATTTTATATCTACATTATTGGAGCTACAATATTGGATGAAAACTTAAACTTGAAAATTAATCGATTTGGAGCTACCTAACCCGCCTAAACGGTAGATAGAGGTAGACGTTCAAGTTCTTCTGATGTAAAATAATTACGTATAGTACCTGTGAATGTTTAAACTTCGAAGTGCATGAACGAAACCAGTTTTTATGAACTGAAATCGACGCACAGTATACAAAATATACTATAATAAACATACACAATAGTTAAACATAATATGAAACACATCAACGAGAAAAAACAACTACAGGCGGCTTCAAGTGCATTTTATATAACAGCCAACCATCATAGTATTATAAATATTAACGACAAAGACCAGAATTTCCAATACTAAAAACGTTGATAACTTCACAAATAGAAAAAATTTCATCGTTTATACGGTTTACGGATTTAAGGTATACCGTTCACATAGTATTATTTTAAAATACCGTCAGCCCTAAGTATACATGATCATCTAGGTAACTCATCTATGCGTAGGTAGTGACACAAAAACAAGTTGTTATAAAATAGGAAAAGAAATTAGAAAGCTTCTAATGGAATATCGAGATAGTAAGTTTCAAAAATGTTTACCCTTTACAGACGCGCATTATTCTAGAACTATTAGTTTCTAAAATATTTTAGAAATTTAAATTATTTCCACAAGTATATTATTTGTATACAAAAGTTTTATAATTGCAGATAATATAACATTTTAATTTTCGATTAAATTAGTGAATTATTAAATTAGAAATTACCCGTGGGCAAATTCATCAGAAATGTATACGGTGCAGTCAATGACGTTTATTTACTAACTTTTATGACGTAAAACTTTGAAATAATCGTTAAACATAATGTTCATAAAGGTAAAATTTAATCAGTCGTATTGACGTACACAAATGTCACAGTAAAATATTGAAATCTCAAAAGTCTGAAAAATGTATACGAGTTGTTAACAATCTGAATAAGTATACTACGCTAATTACCATCGAGAAACGTAATAATATAGTTCATTTTTACTCAACCATTATACAGTTATATCAAAATAAAAACTAGTTTGTCTAGATATGCCATGCGCATTGTATTCAACGTGTTTTTATATTGCATTCACCGAGTTATTTGTACACAAACAAAGTCTTTGGAATGTTAATAATTTCTCAATTTCATACTTATGTAAACATTTTGATAAGTAAATATAATTAAAAATACTTACTAAGTATGGTATCAATATTTAAGACCGTTTACGAAAACATAATTAACTTTGAAGTATATCATCATTTAATGAGCATTTAATCGATAGAAATGTATAATCGTTTTTTGGAATAAAAAGTAAGTATTCAAAAAAATATTTTATTATTCTTCTATCGATTTCCAATATTACGCATATTTAATATTTTTATAAATACATCTGAGTATGGTTTCAAACCTGCTGACAATAATACCTACGACATTGATAATATAATATTACAACCGATATATTTGTTCATTACACGTATATCTGTCAACTGATTATTTTAAAATGTGGGGTTTTTTTCAATAAATTTTAGAAATTCAACAGTAAATCAACTCGGCCTTCATATTATTTACACGTGCACTAATATTGATGAATCAGGGTATTTTTTTTCGCACAACCACCATCATTTGATATAGGTCGATCGATTTTGAACATTTTAACAGACGTATAGTACAAGTCTTAATGTGGTTATGGAAACGAGTTATATAAGTTTCTAAATTTGAATATAAATTACGTGAATTCCTACATCGGTTTGGTATATATAAGTATACATATCTACGGATGCTTATTTCGAATATTCTTCATAACGGCAAGTGAAGACCGTGAAAACACGATTCACTCGTTTGACTACTTAGACTCGTCGCCGATCTCTTCGGTTGAGCCACCACGCTTCGTGTTTACTAACCCCTTTGAATTTTCACGTAAAACCACCCATGGCCTGTACGTAAACTTATCGTATTAAATTTTTGTACAAAAAGGTACAGTTGTAAATGGCTACAACGCGTAACAATATCTGTGTCCACGGTGTTAGACGGTGGACTCGTGTAGATTTTCAATTTTTTCGAAATTCTCGTGTTTCACACTTTTTTATGAGCCTTTTGTAGTAGGAAAAAAATACGTAAAATTATTTTTTTCAAATCGTTTTCATTCGTTCAATAATTTAACGCATATTTACTATTTTAGTTATTTAAATTCATCGACCGTTGTTTTCAATGCATCAGATTTCATCACCATCGACCTATTTCCTTATCAACGACTGTATATAATGGAAATAATATTGTTGTTTTCGTGGCTAAAACTCTAAATAAGACGTGCTCGATAGTAGAGAGCACACTGTTATGATAGTTTGTACGCAGTGTGTAATCTCTTGAGGACACCACTATCGCATACCCGTTGTCTCCGTCTTACAAACGTACAACATAGAAAATCTGTGTTCAGTTCCAATTTTATGTGGTTAGCATTAAATATATTAAATATGATCAGATCAATTATCATATTTATGAGCGAGAACACGCTATAAGTGTTTGCATATTGGTTTTACACAATATATTTATTTTAAAACGAGCAATGAGTCTACAAAATATTATAATTTAAAACAATACATAATTCGCTTAGAAATTAAGAAAAACTATCAACAAAACACAGATTATGTTATTTCCTTTGAGTTTGATATTAGATTAGATAACTATATTATTAAAGCTTAAGATACAAAATTGGTTCTATTGAACGGAGATTTACTGTGTCTTCTGTTCAAGTTATGTTTACATTAAGACTCGTATGACCTGCTTTTAATGCTATAAACCGGTGGTGACCAAACTACGGCCCGCTATGATTTAAGTCCGGCCCACGAAAGTATTCTACATTACAACACTTATTTGCGTAACTATAATATTTTACATTTACGTAAAAAAAGAAATTGGAAAATTAAAAAATACATTTTCTTATGGCCCGCAGTAAAGAAAGTTCTTTTTTTATGGCCTAGATAAAAAAAGTTTAACCACTACTGCTATAAGCGAATAAACAACTATCATACACTGCGTTTATAGATAAATATAAAATTATGAAAATGTTTAAAGATCCAAAATATTTCACACTCGTAAAATCTAAATCCCACGTGTGAATAAATAATTAATTCATTTTTATCAAATTCATCTGCGGTGAAACCTAATTGCAATTTTAATACGAGTGGTTTTTTTTCTTCGAGTTTCCAGTGTTCATCCGAATTTATTTATTTTATACGCGAATATTTCAATTGGGTGTTTTAATTCACTGAATAATTAAATACTTAAAACCACTCCACTGAATATTCATCATACTTTATTTCAAATAAATAATATTTCTTTTTTATTGCTATAAAGGTTAATTAGCTACAATATTTTGCTCACTTAGGGTTACTTTTTGTTTAAGAATATTTTTTTTTATATTTAATAAAGTTTTGGAAGTGAGGTATCGTTGATCAATGAAAAAAAAAAGCGAAACATGCCTTTGTGAACTTACTGTTAATTACATATTCTTTAAATGTCCCACTTACCGGAACGTCCAGACAAAATCAAATATAAAAATCATCTCACTCAAAGAAGCATTCGGCCACTAACAAAAAAAAATTATAATATACTTCACCAAGATAGTCGAGTTCACAGTAGACATATAAATAATTTTATTTACTATTAGATGCACTAATAATCGTGCAGTTATCTCATAAATGAAAACAACGCATGTTGATTTTCCTTTAGGTTTTTCGTTCACCTTTCTTACGCACGCTGTCAGTAAATTGTGTTATTATTTTTATTATTACTACACATTTGAAAGTTATAGTAAATTATCACGTACAAAGAATGGTTTTCGAGAAGAGATCAGTTTGCTATTATGTTTATGTCACATACTTCATGTTACTATAAATGCAAACGAAAAAAGAAAAATATATAAGTACAACATTTATTGAATTCGATTCTATGAGCTAAATTAACGTGAGATAGTCATATTTTGAGGTTCATCGCATACAACAGTTATTTCGCGTACCATTTTTAACCATTAATTTTGAATTAATTAGGTATTTTGTTTACATAAAAAATATAAAAAATTGCATACATCAAATACAACGTCACATGCTATAAAGACAAATTGTAACGAAATAAATGTAATTACAATACATTATTTAACTGTTATTTGTTATCATCACGCCATGTTTGTTGCAGCATGATTTGCATAAACGCATAATTACATAAAAGATCATTCTTTACACATCATCATCTGTCATATGAAATAATACGCTACTTATGCAAAGTAAAACTTTACATACGTACTCGTAACGTACGCCTGAGATCGTGCACACCGTGGGCACACGAGTTATTGCGTTCCATATGTAGACAATAACCTCAATACCCGCCTGCACTCCGTTTCGATTCCTTTCTGGCGCGTGTCTTCTAATCAACTTGCACTGTTGTACCATATCGTGTTTTGTCCAACTCGTAGTAATAGCGAGAAAAGGAAATCTGCAATTCGTTTAAAAATAATATAGCAATGTTCTATGTTAATAATCACGATGGTCGGTCAGTTTAACCGGCTGCGTTGTTTATCAAGACAGCCTGCAGTACAACTCTTATAGAATTAATAAAATAAACACATACCGTTATAGTTCTAGACCTTCGCATCCGCGTTACACGTTTTTCGGATTATATTATTTTGCGTTCAGATCCGCTGGTCTTACACTTTTGGGTTTAGAACGACAGTTCGCCGAAAAAACACTTGCAACTTTCGCACAGGATTAATAATTCCATTGTGTACCCGTGCTTTATTCAATAATCTCGAAAGTTACAACAAACAACACTGCCATCATAATGTCATTCAGGAGTTTATAATATTACGTTAACGTTAAACAAACAATTCCATTAATATTTTCCGTTCGAACTCGTCATCTGATTAATCACTTCTGTGAACAACTATTTTCGAACGTTTATAATTTACATTTTATTAAACTGAATTTCAATATCAATCAAAATAATAATAGTGCACTTGCTTGTATGGGGACGAGCGAAGCCGGACGAACGTCTAACATCCAGTCTCGCAATAACCTGTCCATATTTTGTTTCCACTCGTATTCATTTTCGCTTATAGCAGTGACCTAGTTTATTCGATATCGTAGTTTTAATATGATTAAATGCAGGTCACCCGACTACATTATAAACTAATAAACATACCGTTGTATTATTAATATGCAAAAGTGACCGCAAAATTATTTCTAACAAACGTTCGTTTTAAAGCTCTAACTTCAGCAACGGAATATTATTTACAGACAATGTAGTAGTTAAAACATCTATATCGCTAAGTTTTTTAGCGAATAAAAGTTTATACAATACCCCGTCTAACCTGGATATTCTTTGCACATTTAGCTGGATTAACAGGTTTGGGTAGTCGGTAAGATTCGAGCATGTGTGTAAGTGGAAAGAGGTGAACCATCATATTAAACGTGTTTTTTTTTTCAGTAAATTTGTCCATCAAAACAATGTCTATATTCAAAATACCTTTCTTGTATAGAGTGTATTGATTTATGTCTTCGATAAAAACATGAAATCACAAAAATTTCGATTTGAAATTATTAGAAACGTCACAGTTTTTTCATATTTTTTACATTTTGAAATCCGATACGTTTACTTATATACGTACATCGCTCATAAAAAAAAAAAAGACAAAAAAAAAGACACAAGAATTTTGAATATTTCCACTAGACACAGGAGTGGACAGTAATATTTTGGTGTACTCGTAAATAAACATTAATTTCTTATTCTTCTGTAAAAAATATCTATCACTATCAAATCAAAATTTTGAAAACATCGGTTACACAATTTTTTCGGTGTGTAGATAAAAATAAACAAATATTAAAAAAATATTCGCAGTTAAATCATCATAATATGATAATTTAACTGCGAATAAATATATTATATGGACAGTTCTATGCGATGATATATACGTGATATATAATTTATTTTTATTCAACAGCGTCTGCGTCATTAATAATAAACGTCAGTCATATATAGTAAATAAGCATCATTGTGATAAGTTGATTTATTATCGTCCCGATTCGATGACGTTTCAACGTTTACTTGAGATTCTCAAATAGTTAATGATACAAGCTATTGATTAATAATACCTATCAAACTCTTATTATTCTATTGGCTCTAAAATATCTCAATTAAAATGCATTTTTTAAACAAAGTAACAGAATGTATTACTATGATTTAGTTTTATCAATGAGCTTTGGTAAATTAGAAGATGTATGGAAATACGGAAATCGTTTAAAATAACATTGTGCATGATTTAAAAACTTCATGATTGTTTAGATTTGTTACAAAAACATTATGTTTCAAATATTTTAAATGTCTTTTAACTATAGAAAAAAACAAACAATAAGCGACTCACGACTAAAAATCACAAATATAATAAAATATTTAATACTTGTATCTTGAGGCTAGCTGTAGTTTGTTCAAAAACCAATTTTTAAAGATTTGCATAATTTTTTTTCTTAATTATGAGAATAACATACTTCCGTTAACGGCCACCTCTATAAGACGGTCAATTTTTTTGGTCATGATTTGAGTGATATGGGAAAAATACATCAACACCTCTATGTGGCAGTCACTCTAATTAAGGGTCAACATTTAAAAATATGTTGAATAAAAAATGGAAAATATTTAAGTTGCTTATAAATTATTTTCGATAGTTTATCTTAACGAGCATTTATGATGTCGATAATACAATGAACAATTGTTTGTGGCTGTATTTTATCATAAGTTTTTTTTTTTGATCAATAAAAATCTGAGAAATTAAGAAGATAGTACTAGTCGTTCGTAACTAAAGGTAATGACGAAGAGGAAACATTTGAAGAAACCAACTTGAGTATTATACTATTATAATAGTATAGTATTATTGTATTAAACTATTCTGATATTGCCAATAATTAATAAATAAACAATTAACAGTTTTCACTTTTCAGGAAGGTGACGTAGATGGTTATAATACTAGTATGTTAAAAACCGTAGATTTATTTTGAAAATTATCCAAATAATAAAATTAATTTTAAACTAACTAATGTAACTAAATTTTTTAATTTTAATATTTATAAAAGCTTAGATGAGATTTTATGAGATTTTTTTTTTTTTAATTTTTAATTGTACCTACATTTACCGTAAATCATAAATACATTGTTCAATATCCATATTGATGCGTTTTTTATTTGGTATTTTATTTTTAAAATTTGCTTGCACTCTATATAGTAGTTACCTGGAAGGTATTGAACTTCTGTTACCAGTTACCTCTATGGAATGGGCACTTCTAAATAGCAGTTTTTACTTAGAATCCCTTCGGTGACCGTTGTATGGAAATTCTACTGCATAATATAATATGTTGTATTGAACTGTCGTTAATGTTGTTAATCTAAGCGTTAAAGAAAATTATTTCAAAACTTACTTGCACATAAAACAATCGATAAACTATGTGGATGGATATGTAAAAAATATAATTACTACGATAAATGTATACATGTGGATAGATAAATACCGTTGTGAATTGTATTTGTGAAGAAAACCATGCTTATGAAAACATTGAATTCATTACAATCGAACGGGCGAACGGGATCAGTATATGTTTTTATGCATATCGTATGTCTAATGCAAGCATCTCATAAAATGGTTTAATATTCTCACAGAATGAATGATCTTTAGTCTATACGATATCTCTCGTATAACGATAATGGAGCTAGTATGATATTATAAAACTAACGGGTTAGACGAGTTATATGTACCACATTAATAAAATCGGATCACTTGCAACGACACAGTTATATTATGTATTCATGTGTTTCTTCGGCAACCAATCGCACGCAGGAGATAGCCCGATGATCTGAGGTATTAAGTCACTGCGTATGAATTAGTCTAAAAATTGCGCATACCCCACGCGCACACCGTCTATAAACTTCGATATCAATGCGCTCAATACACATTAATCGATTATAATTATTTCGATACTCGCCGAAGTCAATGAGATACCGATTTTAACTGTTCTAATAGTTATCAAAAGTTAACTAAAGCTCAACAATGTTCAGGATGCCTTTTAAGAAACGTTATGTGAAAATAAAAATTTAATTTATGCGTTTATTTTTAATGTTTTTTTTTTTTTTTTTTTTTAATTTTAAGTACGCAATTTGTTTCACACATTGATACGATAAACATAATTGATTACCGTACACACTAAGATAATACAGAAATGGAACAGAGTGGGACTGCAATACGATTATAATAATTAAGTTAGCCGGTCACGATGCCACTGCGTTTCGAGTTTTATTTTTTCTCGAAATCGCGCCTGGAATTGTTTTAGATAAGACCTGAGATGATTTTCTAACTCGCCATGTTAGACGATCGGTGAAACGATTTTTTAAAACATGCAATTTAACTGTTCAGGTACAGCATGGAATGGTCGGGACGAATAAATAGTTGGTTGCGAACGTAAAGCGGTCTTAACACACGATGCATACTGCGTAGGACTTATGATTGAACTCCCTACAGACACGCTTTTGGTGGTATTATTTACGTTCTTTTGCGCCGCTCGAAATGTCAATCCTTCTGACGTATATTTTCGCCGTTCAATAATCCTTTGACTATTTTCTGATATACCAGAACATTGCGAATCCAATCTATAGATACACTATTCGATTAAACATTTATTAGCGTCGAACATTTTTTTTTTTTTTTGAATTTATATCCAGTTGTAATATACTCTCGTTAGTTGTACAAATCACAGTGTTTCATCATATTAACCATCGGTAATAAAATAACGCTCCAGCCAAAAACTTTTTTATTTTTTTTTCTCATACTATCTATTTCTCTATGCTTATATATTTGTTTTTGATGATTTTTTTCTTTCTTCGGTAATTTTTATTACCGATTCATATAAGTACCTATTATTTTTAATTGTAACTATATTAAAAAGGATGCGCACATGTTTTAAAACAAAATAAAATAATGTCATCAGGGTATGCCAGGACAACGGGCATTAGTATATTAGATTCGTGTCAATCTTCGTTAGTGATTTCATGTGCAGTACATGCATAGTAACGTTTTTTTATTTGTATTTGATCTGTACCATATACTATACTTACACGTATTATTATCGTGTTTAAAATGTATTTCGTGGATGCGAGTGATAATTTTGTTGTAGTAATGTGTTTAAAGTTCATTTCAAAATTGTTCACAGTGTACGGTGAATAAGTACTCAAAACAACCTAACCCATTCTAAGTGAAATATTTTTAATTTTTAGTGAAAACATAGTGTTGGTTTTCGTCCGTTCAACCGTTTTCCGTGGAGCTTCTTGTCGGAGACGTAACCGGGATTCGCGAGGACCGTCGCATTTATAGTCGAATAAAAATCGCGTGTACAGCGTACGACGACCGTGTACCGTATCACTATCGTTCTAACGAACCTTGGCAGATCATCGGTGGATGTAGAAAAAATATATATAATATTTAACAACGCGACGGTGCCGTGTACGAGCTTATTAGCCGGCCCGTAAATGTTTGCTCGTTGGGTTCTCGGCCGAGCGCAATCAGCGGACTTGCATCGGTTCGGGCGAGAATTAGGACTCGATTATCCGACTACAAACGTGTGGCGGATAATAAAAAGCCAAATCGCTGTGATCATCCGAGTCCATAACGAACGCAGCTCGCGTCCGATACGCAAATATCGCCATCACCAGTGCATTTTTTAACTAGTTAACTAGGCGACACGAATGTCGCCCAATGATTATACTCTGTCTGTCGACATTTTAAAAGATTGGGAGAAATAATGCGAAACAAACGTGTAATACTTTAATCATACTATGGTATTATACATTGACTATTTTGAAAAAAACATTTTTTGTCGCCCAGTGAAAATTCCTTATGAAATGCACTGGCCGTCACAGCTACGATAGTTAATGTCTTGACCACTGGTCGTGGTACCGGACCATACGTATAAGCGCAATTAGGGGGGGGGGGGGAGCAATAGGGTTTTTAACACCCCTGAGTTCAAATGTAACACTATTGTTTTTTTTTTTTTTTTAAGATCTATACAATGTATAATAATTACAGTGAAATACCATTAGGTTTTATTTTTAGCAATTTCAGTACCTCCAATATTTGAGCTCTAGTTGCGCCCATGGCCGTACGCGCATAAAGCCGCGATGGCAGCGCGCGTCATTTATGGTAAAGTGTGACGTTTTCGTCGCTAGCCATCGCGAAGCCGGATTATTTCATTAGCCGAACTCGCAATCGTTATTATTTTCTTCGTACGTTTTTCAACGACCAATCGAGTGCGATGCCACGTCCGACACACTTTTCCATTGCTCGAAACGACGAACATTTGGACGTTCGGTTCACATGAATCCAGTAAACGAATACAGCAATACAGAATTTCGATAGTTCGAGAACCCGAACGGTTGAGTACCTTTGAGAAAATGTTTATAATTCGAAAACAACACAGCGACAGCATTTTGCAATTGGCCACAACGTCTACAACGAAAATATATGAGTTTTATATAAGCTCAAATCAATTGGATTGGGACCGTAGTTTGACTTGCCTACTCGTCGTGTTCAGTAAAAACATGTGCATTGTACCCGGCGGTGGCTGTCCTAAGAAATAATGTGTGTTGCCGAGTATAATATTTCTAAAGACCCACCCACCTTCACTGAACCTTAAAATAAATACCAATTGTAAAATTTATTTAACAAAAACAGAATAAATATCAATCGTAATAATAAACAATAGTACATTATAGTACATTATAGCCACATGTATTGTACTCGATATTATACATCAATACAATTTTGGAAGTCGCTTATTGTTTTATGAAATATAAGAACCTTATACCTTTAATTTTATAAATTATTAAGATTAATTACATTATCATAAATAATTAATAAACATATTATACAAATCATTTCTAAGGGAAAAATATAGCATCATAAAATAAATAAAATTAACAATTACATTGTAATACAAAAATAAAATCATTCTTATAGAGAGTGTTTTCAATAGACAGAATAATAAAAAAACTAAAAAATATCATAATATAAATATCTGATATCAATATAAATAAGTATAAAAAATGTATTTTTTCCATGAGTATTTATTGTATAATCTAAACAAATATTTACAACTAAGTCATCATCAGTTTTATTTTTTACACTATTTTGTACATTTTATGTAATTTTTTACTTCCAATGTTATTCATATTAATATTACATTGATATTAGTAATATTAAATTATTTATAAATTAAATAATTATGAATAGGTACATTATATTATATCAATAAAATAATTTTATTTTAATATAATATGTAGGTAAATATAAAAAAAAAAATCAACAATGAAGCTTACGAATATTTTCAAATTTTCGCTTTTCAATAAAAAAAAAAAAAAAAACCATTGATTGGATATGAAATATTGTTTTATTGTAATGCTATTTTATATTTGCAATTATTGACGTGTCTAGCCCAATTTGTTACATTCATAATGCTATTTTCGCATCCAAAAACTTCGCAATTTTTTATACTCTCCTTATCATATCAACTATATCAATATATTTTAATAACATATTTCAAGATCAAAATTACACAAAATATACAACGGTAAACTTTCAATGTGAAAAAAAAAACTTTATAATTTACGATGCAGGTACCTATAATATTGGTATTAATGCGAAAGAAACAGACGAAAAAGTAAACATTAAGACCAAACTTCCAATATTTCGAATTCGACTGTTAATAGACAAAATAGTGAATGTACTATATAGCAGGGATGGGCGACTGACTGCCTGCGTACTTTTTATTATTTAGCCCGTGCTACAATTTCAAATTACTTCTAACATTTCAGTGTTTATCGGTATTTAATTTCATCACGTTGATCGTGAAATCGTAAATATTATGTTTTACTCTAGTATTGAACTGCAGCTAATTTATTAAATTTTTAAATATCCATATTGACACAGCTAATAAAACTAAAACTCGGTATTGGGTAAGTATTGTATTGGTTTAGTAGTATAATTAAATTATATAAAATAAAAGCTAATTGTCAATTTTAATGAATTTTACTTTTTGCTCTATCTACTCTACTCCACTAGATTTTAAAGTTATATAAATTGGCTCTCTAGTGATTTTGAGTTTCCCATCCCTGCTACATAGTATTGTAATATTATAAAGGATAAAAATAATTTAACAATAATTTTAGTTCAAAATAATACTGATTTAAAAATTAAATTGGGAATTATTTTTTGTTTTCAATATCACTGTAATGCTAGAACCTGGCATCCGGCGCCGCCGACTAAACAACAATAGAAAGTGCATCGACTA